AGCAACATATAAAGCCAGGCTTGGTGGTACCTGCCTGCAATTGTAGCATTTAGGAGGTGGAGGCAGGAAAATCCAAAGTTCAAGGTTATTCACTCTAAAGATGGACTTTTTAGGGCATGATTGGGGTAGGGCAGGAGGTAGAGGGGTAGAGTTGAATATCTTTGTGTGATTATCTTCCATGGGCCTATTGGACCCTTTTCCAGCCTTCTTGGTAGTCAGAGAAAGATTTGTCTTAAACAATAAATCCTAACTTAGTCATTTTACTGTTTCCATTCAAAATTAACAGAATTATATAAACTTTTATTTGTCCCTTCTGTTGTTAGTAGGAAAATTATATCCTTCCGTTTATTTTTCTTTCCTTCTCTTTTTGATCTAAACCTTTAGCAAGATCAACTTTAACATCCACTCAGCACCCCATATCTTGCCTGTATCTGCCCTGGAGTCCTTCAGACATGGCAGGTGTTTATAAACCAAACACACCTTTGCAGGGTTGAGTGAGAAGCCTGGGAGGCGACAAGGGGATATGTTTTTTTGTGTGTGTTAGTATGTGAGTATATTAGGACTTGAGGAAAATGGGCAAATTGAGAGGGCAAGTTTGGAAATTGGAGCATGCAAACTCTTCAGTAGAAAGTGAGAATAAAATTCAAGTTCTTGAAATAGCAGAATGTATCCTAAGGAATGTGTTCAGGCCTGTTCTGGGATTGGAGTCCTGGCAGCTGTTTTCTGGGAGGGGAGCTGGGTTAAGGGTTTGCAGTTCAGTTCTGAGGTTGAGGAGAAGTTTAAAGAGAGAAGGATGGGGTCTGAGGTACATATACCTCCCCTTGGCAGAACCCTGCAGGTTCTCAGATTCAGAGCCAGTCTCATGCATGGCTTGGCTTGACTTCATGGTTGGAATTGGAGGTTTCAGTTTTCAGTGTCTTGCTGCCTCAGAGGAAGTTCACAGCCCTTTTGGCCTTAAAATTGGTTTCTTGGGTATATATTTCAGCCAGTGGGGATTTGAGCCCTTTCACTGTCCACCTACCCTGAAAGGCTCACTTGTCTATAAGTTTTAAGAAAACACCAGGTAGTTATGTAAAGCATATATATTTTGCTTTTTAAAAAGATTTATTTTATTTATGTTTGTGTAGCTATGTGCGGGGGGGGGGCACACACATGTGTTGGTGGTGTCTGGAGGAGGAGAGAAGAGGAACTGGGATCCTCTAGAACTAGAGTTATAGGCAGTTGTGAGCCACTTGATGCTGGTGCTAGGAACTGAACGCCAGTCCTGCAAGAACATCAAATACTCCTTTTTAAACATTTTTGTTTTGTTTTTAAAAATTTTATGTGTATGAGTGTTTTGCCTGCATGTGTGCCTATGCATGCAGTACATGCGGAGGCCAGAAAAGAGCATCAGATCCCCCTGGAACTACAGTTACAGAAGGTTGTTAGCTGCCATGTGAGTGCTGTGAACAGAGCTCAGATCCTCTGGAAGAGCAGCCAGTGCTTAATCGCTGAGGCCTCTCTCTATCCCAACAGCAGCAAGAACTCTTAACCACAGAGTCATTTCTCTAGCCCTTACTTATTTATTATTGTGTATGTATGTGTGTGTATGAATGACATGTATGAATGTGGGCATGAGTGTACGTGTATGTGTGTGTGAGGATAATTTTGTGGAGTCAGTTCTCTCATCCATATGGGTTCCTATAGGAATGACTTCTTATAATATGGATATAATCTAGGACTTTATACCTAAACTTGCAACCTAAAAGTTACTGTTTATAATGTAAAGCTCACTGTGCTCTTCTTGTGACCTGGGCATCTGACCTTAATCTTTTAGGACCTCTCCTTGCCCTCCACCCAAGATAGTGTATGAATGTATGTCAAAGCACTGAAAGCAGCAAGGAGAGAAACTGAGAAGTCTGCTATAATTGTATGTGTAATTTTCTAGGGATCAAAGGGCAAGAGTCTCTGATAAGATAAGGGTGGGTCCTGACTTCTATTTCCCCATTTCACACAGGAGCTACTGTTTGAGTAAAAGAATGGGTAAAGCCCTGGGGCACACACTTCTCAGAGACATCAGAAGGAACAGGTGCTTGGCAGTTCAGGTCCAGTCTTGTCCTTGAAATGAATGCTAAGAGTCAGGCTGTCTCTCTGTCCCTCTGTCTCTCTCTCTCTGTTTCTCTCTCTCTCTGTTTCTCTCTCTCTCTGTTTCTCTCTCTCTCTCTCTCTCTCTCTCTCTTTCTCTTTTAATTTTATTTAATGTGTATGGATGTATTGCCTGCATGTAGGTAAGTGCACCTGTGTTGTGCAGTGCCCTTGGAGGTCAGAAGAGGCTGTCGGATCCCCTGGGACTGGAGTTAGGGACAGTTGTTAGCTGCCATGTGGGTGCTGGGATTCGAACCCGGGTCTTCTGCAAGAACAACCAGTGTTCCTAACCGCTGAACCATCTTTCCAGCCCTGTGGCTTTCTCTTTTTTAAGCAGTGCCATAATGTGGCTTAGTAATGGCATAGATTCCAGGGATCACACTCAGGTCTCCAGGCTTGCGCAGCAAGTGCCTTACCTGCTGAGCCATCTTGCTGGCCCACCAACCTTCCCTTTTTATTTTGAGACAAAGTCTTATTCATACTCACTTGCCCAAGTTGGCCTTGAATTTGCCATCCTCCTCCTTAGCTTTGGGCAACTGGGCTATTAGCCTTTGCTTGTTTCTGAAGCCTCAGTATTTCATAGCCCACTAGGAGGTGTCTTGTGCAAGTTGAATCTGTTTAAGAAAGACCCCCACCTTAATCTGTAGTTTCTTAGTTTGGTGTTTCTTTCCCTGTGGCACCAGGAAGCAGAGGCACCCAGCCCCTTGCTCACAGATTAGTTTCCTTTTGTTTGTACAGACCTCCCAGCTTCTCCCAGCCTCCTGGAAGGTGCCGGACCCAGTTGGACAGCTTATGCTGCTGTCTCCCATTCAAGTGGCTAGACTAGGGGAAGGCAGCAGAGCCTTTGTCTTGTGAAAAAACATTCTTTTCTCTTAAGACATTCTTAGTCATCAGAAGCCTTTGTATCAGCACCATTTGTTCAGTCTAAACTTGGAGGGAGATACAGAGGGTGACTGCCCACTTCTCTAGATATGGGGCAGGTATACTTGCTGGGTCCCAAATCAGGTGGCACATATGAGTGCTGGCATTTTGGTACATCCTAGAGCTCTGTATATTATATGCTTTTGACCATGAGTACCAACTTTGATATGCCTGTGTGTTAAGGTGGGAAATGCTCCCTGAAAACCAGAGGGCTCTCTTCTGTGAGGCCCATCCCTGCCTACAGTGAAGGCCACATTGTGAGTGAAGGATGTGCAGTCACTGTTATTTCTGTCTTCTGACTGGCTTTGGGATTCATGAGAGATAATCTTATGGGTGAAGAGGCAGAACATGCCTGCCTCCAGAGGAAGCCAGTGTTATGGCTCAGGCAGAGACAGACTCCTCAGTGTACCTGACAGTGCAGAGGAGATGTGTGAAGCTTCATGAGCTGTTATCTTCTACCTGTGTGGCTACATATGATGAGTGATCAGTGTATTTTCTGTGCCCCTTTTTTGTTTGCTTATTTTCTTTGCCCATTGCCCACCTTGGGAGAAGGAAGCTGGTGATTCCTGGCATTTCTCTGGCAGAAACGGCATAGTCGTCCAGTAGAGAGGAAAGTCCATTGCAGGATAAAGGGGGAGGTGGCAGGCCTTGGTCTATACAAGGATGTGTGGGGAGGAGGGTCTTAACCTATTACAGCAGTCAGCCAGTCTCAGGACTCCATACCTCAGGCTTTTTCGTCTATTGTAATGGGAAGAACTGTCTTTACCCAGAGGTTTGTCTTGGGATCAGTGAGACAGAGCTAGCCACAGGGTTTGAGCAACCAAGGAGGCAGCAATAGTGTTATCTGGAGACCTTGCTAGAAAGCAAGAACTCCAGGCCTCAACTATGCTGCTTTGTAACTGTGCTTGGAGTCTTCTGGACTTCATTTTCTTTATCTTACAGATAAGGAAACTTCATCTCCTGCTGGACTGTGGTTGCTTTGAGGACAGGGGCACTATTTCTCTCCTGTACTACCATTCGTTCAGGTGTTTATTCCATGTTGGGCATAGTGCTAGTTACTGGGTATTTACTATGAATGGGACAGGCTCGGGGGAGGGTCACCGAACTCATCCCAGAATCCCATATTGGAAATGTGGACATCGCTCTAGCTTCATGTTTCTCATCTGTAGAAAGGAAGGGAATGGGTGTCCTTGGAGCCCATGATTGCGGTTCTGGGTATTCGCTTCTCCTTTGTGAGGTGAGGGGTTAGGCTTGACCCTGTGAAGGTTTAAGGCTGTGTTAATTTGGCCTCATGCTGGAGACTCTTGAAAGCCTAGGGGAGTTTGTTGGCCTTGCTCTAGAAGAGCAGTTTTGGGACCTCACTAATTCATGATCAGGGAGTATCACAGAGAAGTGGTCCTGAAGGAGAATCCCCCAGGTAGCTAGAGGGGGTTGACCAAAGCCCTACTTGACAGGCCCTTCAGGTTTAAGATAGCTCTGAAAAGAGAGGCTTTCTTGTTTTCATATATCATTTTAAAAAGCATTAGGACCGGGCAGAGGTGTATCTCAGTGATAAGGTGCGTACTTAGTATGCATGTGGCCCAGAGTTTAATAGCCAGCACCAAAAGTTATATTAAATTAACTGGATCAGCTTCCCCTAGTATGCTGATTCCTCCGTAGTTGGCTTCTGCTTGGCAGTGAAAATAGCCCACGAGCTAGCCATTCCATTGGAAGCCTTTGATGTTAACTGAGGGTTTCGACTTAAGTCCAAGTTTTATTCTTTAGTAAGAGGTGTTTCTGATCTTATCTTAGTTTTGAAAGTAGATGGACTCTCCTGTATCCGTAGAGACTGAGGTATGGCTCTCACTTAGCCAGCCAAACAGACTGTACTTGCCCTGTGCAGAAATGCCTGGATTGTGCTCTCCAGTCCTCATGGGTGCTCTTATCAAATGAGTGTGTTCTTTTTTTCTCTCTAGGGCATGGCTTCCAGTTTCTGGGACCTGAGGCTTTGGAGGAGGAAATGACGATTCAGGGTTCTTGCTCCATCTGGATTACTGAAACTGAACCTTCGTAGAGTGCAGGTTTGGGAGGACAGGAAAGTTTCTCTTGAAGGGCTTCAGATTTGTAACAAAGAAAATAAAAATGACAACTTCATCTATCAGACGACAGATGAAAAACATTGTGAACAATTACTCAGAGGCTGAAATCAAAGTCCGGGAAGCCACTTCCAATGACCCATGGGGCCCATCTAGCTCTCTGATGACCGAGATAGCTGACCTGACCTACAATGTGGTGGCCTTCTCAGAGATAATGAGCATGGTATGGAAGCGGCTTAATGACCATGGCAAGAACTGGAGGCATGTGTATAAGGCACTGACGCTGCTGGACTATCTTATCAAGACTGGTTCTGAGCGGGTAGCCCAGCAGTGCCGTGAGAACATCTTTGCCATCCAGACCCTGAAGGACTTCCAGTACATTGACCGTGATGGCAAAGACCAGGGCATCAACGTGCGAGAGAAGTCAAAGCAGCTGGTGGTTCTCCTTAAGGATGAGGAGCGGCTGAAGGCTGAGAGGGCCCAAGCTCTCAAAACCAAAGAGCGCATGGCCCAGGTGGCCACTGGTGTGGGCAGCAACCAGATCACCTTTGGTCGAGGCTCCAGCCAGCCCAACCTCTCCACCAGCTATTCGGAGCAGGAGTACGGCAAGGCTGGGGGCTCACCGGCCTCCTACCATGGCTGTGAGTAACCAGAGTGCCCTTCTCTTATGTAGCACTGAGCGGCAGGTACTGGGACTGAGGAAGTGGCAGCTGCCACAAGGCTTGATTCTGTCCTCAGTTCTCAGCTTTTGGCAGCCCAGATGATAGCTCCCTTGGTCTGGACTGAATTAGTCACAAAAGGTTCCTGGGCTGCTCTGTGGGTCTCTTGTGGATCTGGGCAGAGGTGTGTCCAAGCTTCTTGGGTTCTTGGGAGAAAGTGGCCTCCAAGGCCAGTCTCAACCAGTTTCCTTGTCCAAAAATGCTGCCAGCAAGGGATTGTCCTGCTTCCTAAATTGCAGGAAGCCTTGGTTCTGGTAGCACGATGGAAATGAGGCTTCTCTTGATCTTAGTCCTGCATTTAGTGTCTTTCTACTGCTTGAGCGGCAGGTCTTTGGAGTGGCTCAGTGCTTGTTGGACTGCAGTATCTCAGAGGATGGAGGTTGGATGTCTGTCTCCCTAGACAGGAAGATCCTCTACAGGTTGTTAGTGTCAGCAGCACCTCCTCCCTTGTGCAAAGGGAATCTCCAGAATTTGATTTGGTTGTGTGGCTGGGTCTGCGCTATGCAAGGCTGATCTGTGTTCTGATTTTGTTTGTTGGCTCACTTTGTATCTCAGCCCTGCATTCAGAAGAGGTTTCAGGGAGTGGAGAATGGGGTTCAGGCTCTACTGAAGCTGGGCTCTGGGCCAACTGGCCTCCAGGTCATTATCAAAAAGTAGTCCCTGGCGCAGTGCTTGTCCTCCACTTCAGAGAGCTGGGCAGCCAGTCAGGACCCAGTCTGAACTCAAAATGGCGTTTCTGGTGCCCTTTGGGATGCAGAAGTGTATCTTCTGGCAGCAAAAACAGGTTTCCAAACCCATAACATTTGGGATTAGTACAATATGTCAGCATAACAGAAAATTTGTTTTTCCATGTTTGAAAGCCAGTTTCCCTAAGTTGCCAGGCTGGCTGCAAACTTGCAGTCCTTCTGCCTAAGCCTCCTGAGTGCTGAGATTACAGGTGTGTGCTTCCATGCACCAACTAGCACAGCAGAAAGCCTTTTCTTTTGAAGGAAGTTGTTGTGGTCTGACAAAGACCCTTAGTGGTTTTGCGCTCAGACCACTCAGCGGCATTTCCTGATGTGTCTCACAGGTTTTGATCTGACTTAACTCTACCACCAGCATTTTGGGAACTGTCTCAGAACTGTATTGTTTGGGAGATTTGCATACCAAAGTCGGGCTTTCTGCCTCTAGGAATTTTAAATTATCAAGGTTGGTGCAGGCTAGTGCTTTCTTGTCCTGTTTCTAGTTTTTGTACTTTTCTTTCTTAGTTTGAACTCCTTCCCTAAGCAATGGCTGTGACCTTTGTGAGACCACTTGTAAATAGTATAACCTTAAGTTTCCAGAGGTCTCCCAGGGTTAAGATGCCCTCCCCCCCCAAAAAAAGAAAAGAAGAAGAAGATTGCCTTTAAGAAAAGAATTGTTTCGTTTCTGTCTTGGACTCCTGTCGAGAATACAAAGGGGCTGAAACCATCACAGTTCATGAACAGGAGGTAGAACATTCCAGGTGCAGGGGCAAGAGCAAGGGCTAGGGGCTAGTGCTAGGTGGGGAGCATGGGAGCCTGGTTGCTTGATTAGGCTCTCCTTACCTCAAGCCTTGGGTCTTCAGCTACAAACCCTACCTGGCTTCCTCTAAGGCTAACCAGTGTTTTAGCTCTGGACTTTACTGGTTTCCTTGACCTTGATCCTGAACTGCACATCTAGGATCCCAGTGAGTTCAGCAGACTCTCATCAAACACAGAGGGCTGCAGGAATGAGGCAAGATCCTGGGCAGGTTCTGCCCACATTCCCTACATCCTGCTGTGCATCCTCTAACGGTGTGTCTCTTTCTGTGTATGTGTGTGTGTGTGTGTCCCTGCCCGACAGCACCTGAGGCCTCGCTGTGCCCCCAGCACCGCACAGGGGCCACGCTGGGTCAGAGCGAGGAGCTGCAGCCACTGAGCCAGCACCACCCCTGCCTGCTGCACCTGGGGCTGGCCTCCCGCCCAAATGGCGACTGGGCCCAGCCCTGCCTCACTTGTGACCGCGCAGCCCGAGGTGGGACAGCGGTTTGCTTTTCTCCTTCCTAGAAATGCCATGCAGCTTGCTGAGGGTGGGGCTTGTCATGCCAGTACAGCCAACTCTCTCCCTGTGTCCTGCTGGGCATACTCTCCAGCCTCCAGCACCTGGGACTCCTTTCTTCCTCTCCAGGAGCTTGCAGCCCTGTGCTCCCCTGCCTGCAGTCATACCCCATCTGCATAGTAGGAGAGCTGCTTGGTAGATGGGCATGGGTAATGGCCCTATCCTCCCCAGTCCCTTGTTCTGCAGACTGGAAGGGCCTCTGCTGCCTGCCAGGCCACCAGTGATGGTGGACCCAAACACTTGGCTTGTGGAGATGGAAATGTGTGCTTTCAGTCTCAGAAAGCTCGGCCAGTAGCATACCCTCAGCAGCGTTCACTGGAAACTCATTCCCAATGCAGGAGTTGACACCTTGCTGAGCATCCAGTGGGTTTGTTTTTGCTTCCCAATTAACTGCTGTTATTGCTGAAATCCCCATTGCCATGGTAAACAGAGAGTTAGCTGTACTGTCAATTCTAGGTCACTGTGTTTGAAGAAACTGAATTCAATGGTTAACTAAAAATGGGGCTTCTCTTTTACCTAATTAATAATGCATCCTGATCTGAGCGTACACTGTTGTAGGTTAAACTAGAAACAGATTTTCAGTGTTGTCTATTAAAAAATGCTCTCAACCTAATCTCCTTTTGGTCACAGATGGGTTCCCCACTTGAGAAGAAAGCTCTCTCTTCTACTTTTACCCTTGGGGCACCAACAGCAAGCCTTTGTGCAACTTCCCTGATAAGGTGGCCAACCTCTATTCAGCCCTAGAGACAGTTCCTGCTCATTCATGCCTCATTAATATTACAGCTTGTTTGACTTGGGTATTTGTGTTATCACTGTATTTAGTTTTGGGATATTTTCTTGGTGTCTAAAAGAGTTTCTATGGCATTGTGACTTCTAAACTAATGTTTGAAAGGGTAAGGAGGACCAGCTTTGCATAGTAAATGATGTCGAGGTCAGCACTGCTTGGAAGTATTTCTCAGTGGCAAGTAAGTTGCATGCCCATTTCTCTACCATATGCTCACAGACTGTGTTGGCAAGTTCCCCTAAAGCTCCATTGCTTCTGTGTCCTAGGCTATGACCCCACAGGGGCAGGGGAGGATGGCTGCTGAGAAACCTCACTTGCACAAGAGCAACTACAGCAGAAGGCAACTTGGGTCTTTGTAGTCCTGATCAGCAGTGGCCAGTTTTGTTTTTGGTTTTTTTTTTTTTTTTTTTTGGTCTGAAGCCTCAGCTGACCTGGCACTCACTAGACCAGGTTGGTCTTGATCTCACAGATTCACCTGTCTCTGCTTCCTGAGTGCTGAGACTAAAGACATGTGCCACCACACCCAACTAGTTTTGGTTTTGAGTCTAGCTTTCTTTCACAAACCAGCTTTCCTTTTGTCCTCCCTCTCACTACTCTGGAACATCTGTAGATATGACCTTGAAACTTTCTCAAATTCTGCCCTGTATCTCAAACATGATCTCTGTCCAGTGTTAGCCTTCTGCTTGATTTCCTTGCCCATAACCTCCCAATTCCTCTCCACCTTCAATTCTTACACATGATGCTCTGGTGCTGGGTTCTCTGCAGGATCTTCCCTGAGCCTCTGACATAGCATACCTTGATCATCATCTTCCAGCCCAACATGCCATCCCCCAGTGTATGCTGCTCTTGGGGCAAGGCTGAGTTCTACCTATGCAGCCAACCCTGCATACACACATTCTCTTCACCGGCCTGAGCCCTAACCCTGTGGCACTTACTTGGTAATGGGGAGGAAGACATACTCTAAGTAAATCACACAGCATATTACATGAGGAATGCTCTAGAAAATGGCAAAACAGAAATAACCCTGGGAGTACTTGAGGGGAAGAGGGAGGGTAGTTTGCATATGAAATACACAGGATTGAAGGAGGGGGATTGAGCCACATTGCAGTGTTCCTGGGAGAGGCAGCAGTGCGAAGGCCCTGAGATGGGAGTATACTGGGGTGTTTGAGGACTAGGAAGTCAGCCAGCTAGGCTGGGCTGAGTGAGGGAGCTTGCCTTTCCTAAATTCTGATTGGGATTGCTTCCTAAAGTTCCTATTCTCTAGATAGATACTTTCACATGGTAGCCATGTCAGGTGGCTATAAAATTTCTAAATACTGTCCTTCACTGTGCTTACCTCATCACACAGATCACATGCTTTGCTGGGTGGATTGGCATGTGGTCTTCTGGGTCTGCATGAAAAAAGCTGCTAGCTTTTACTTAGGAAGATAGGGAGTAGGTACAGTGGGTACTTAGACTGCTTCAAAAGTCTAAAGGTTGGGAGCATTCTTTGATCTAGAGGTAGGCAGCCACTGGAGCAGGAGGCCTGTCAGGAGCTTTTCTGCCTTGCTGGGTGGGAGATGATGGGACCTGGAGCCTGGTAGGTGGGAAGCAGCGAGTCCTTGGGTTTGTCCTATAGAAGACCCAGAAGACTTGTTGGGCACCTGGATCACACTTGAGTGGAGAGGAGATGAGGGTAGCTCTGAGGCCTAGGAATCCAGCAGCCTGGAAGCAGGGAGGATGACTGTAGTTATAGCAAGTTGTGGACCGCATGTGGAAATGTGTGACGGTGTTGAAGTCTACAGTGTGGTCAAGTTCTGGCTGGAGAGGCAAATTAGACTTGTCCTGTCCTGGATGGTGCTTCTAGCTGTGCATTCTTTGATCTCCTCTGACATTCTTTGATCTCCTCTGACATTCATGTTCACATAAAGGCTGTTTTCCATGAAGGCTAGACCTCTGCTTGCCTCCACTGGCTGCCTTCACCTGTCCTGTCCTGTCCTGCATTGGTGTTTAGGGTTTTTTTTTTGGCTGGGGGGGGCAATGACGATGGATTGACGAGGGGGACATGGGACTGCTGTCAGCAGAAGCTGTGTGGTCCAGAGGAGCCTCTCAGGCTCAGAGATTTGTTCCAGATCATAGAGATGGCAGCCCACCTGTTGGCCTGCCTGGGGCACTTGTCACCCGCTCATACTCTGTAGAACTGGCTACAGCCTTTGTGCCTATGAAGAAATTGAGGAATTTGTTAGGGAGGGGGTGGGAACTTGCATTAAAGGTGGCAGGGGGGAATGGGAGAATTTTTCTTGAGTCCAGGCTGAGGCCTGGGAGGAAAAGAATGCTGCAGCCAGCCATTGTTCCTCTTTTCACTGTCCCTGGTTACTGGTCACCATCTTTCCTGGTACTCAGTCCACGGATGTTGACTCCCAACTCAGCTTCTGGAGCCAGATCTACTGTTTTCTTATATGTCAGGAAACAGCTCCATGGTGCCTGGTGCCTTGAGGTTTTCTGGTGAGAGTTTAAATGCTAGTGTTCTCATTCTTTTTTTAAAAGAGGAAAAAAGGGGGAAAGGAAGAAGACAGGGTAACGAGCTCCACTGCCTTCCATAGACTCTAGTGCATCAGAACAAGTAGTAGCTCAGGAGCCAAAGCTGTGGGGAGAGGAGCTTTGCGGCTGCCACCTCATCTCAGAATGGCCTGCCAACCCCTCCTGTCAGGTGCCTTTAACTCTGATTGGAGGGTGGCTTCAGGAAGTCCCAGTGAAATGTCAGGGTTCCTTGAGGGCCCCCCCCCCCCCAGTGTTCTCTGTGGAGACTACCCTTACATACCCTGTGGCTTACCAGGTGATTGCTGCAGGGTTTGGTTATTTTGTCTTTGCTGGGCATACTTTTACAGAGGATTTGAATTGGCTTACAATACACATGCAGTACCACAGGATTAAGTAGATACTAGAAGAAAGTGGGACAAAAGGGAAAAAAAAGGGTGAGAAAATAAAATAGAGCCAGAGTCATACACAGTTGCTAGAGATGGATCCAAATTTGGCCTTGAACTTCTTAGCCACTGACAACACATCATACAATTTCTCTTTGGTTTCTGAACAAGGGTCCAGGCTCCAAAGGCGGCTGAGGGAGGTCAGGTGCTTACTGTGACGGTGCAGGCAGAAGGGCAGGATCTGAGAGCAACTGCCCCAGACACCACACACCACAATGTGGGAATGACATCCTGTAGCTACTTAGAACTGCCACCCTGCAGCCAGGCCAAGCCTAGCAGGAGTGCATAGAGCTTCTGGATCCTTCTGTAAATACAGCATGGTCATTGAGCTTTTTCCATAGCATACTGTCATTCTTGTGTGGGCGTATGCGTGTGTGCATGTGTGTGTTCTATGTATGTAGAGGCCAGAGGTAGGACTTTGGGTGTCTTTTATCACTTTCTACCTTTTTTCTGAGACAGGGTCTCTCATCGAATCTGGAACTCATTGATTTGGCTACGCTGGCTGGTGAGTTTCAGGGGCCTGCCTGTCTCTGGGACACCCCACACTACCCTCCAGTCCTGAATTTACTGTACCCTGCTTTTATGTGGACACTGGCGATCCATATTCAGGTCCTCATGCTTGCAAAACAGACTCTTTACAAATTGAGCTATCTTCCCAGCCCAGAGAACCCAGCAGGACTCTGAAGAATCTGAAGCTTCTTGAAGCCTCCTTGTTCTTGTACAAGGGCAGTAGGCCTTGGGCCAGCTGGTTTTTCAAGCAAGAGAACTATACTTGGGTAGACCATAGGTTCCAGAGCCCAGCCCTACTGACTGGACTTTGGTAAAAGAGCATTTAATAAATAGACATCTGAGAAATGGTGCCTTTTTTTTTTTTAAGTCCAAGAATGGGAAAATAACTGTAATTAAAAAACAAACATTAAAACTCAGCATCCCTTCAAAAGTGCTCATCGAGTTTGGTGAGTCTGGGACAGGGAGAAAGTAAGGCAGTAAAGTCCCAAGGTGCAGAGTAGAGGGGATTGGGATCGAGAAAAGGCGAGGGCGTGAACATCCAGCAGTGGGAATGTGCCCGGCCCACAGGGCTTTCATCAGCTTTTGGGGTCACCAGGAATGTGTGGGAGACAGGACTCATTTGATACCTGGTTTTACTGAATCATAAGTGCCTGGCAAAC